GGCGAGTGTGTCGGAAATGCAGCTATGCAAGGCGCTGCTTGCAAATGCAATCAAGGTGGCCGGACTGTCTATATGAAGAGATTTGTGGACGAGTATAAGGCTGAGGTGCTTGACAAAGGATTAATGACGTTCAGGGTATCTGAATGCAGCACATCGGAGGTGCTTCTTCCTCCAGAACTCTGTGGAGCTACGGTTATGCTACTGGACAACCACGTTGCCCGTGAGGCTGTATTTGCTTTGGGTCCTGGATTTCGTGCGGCATCCCAAAAGTATTTTGCATGGTGGAAGGGCTCGGACATTACTGTGATTCCAGTTCTAGCTACTGAGGCTAACGCATATCAAACATTGGCAGAACAGTTAAAAAACAAGCGCATCCATTGCATAGCAGGAGTTGTTACGAAGGAACTCCTCGATCTGAACGAAGTATGTTTCATTAGCCCAATACATATTAAACCACAGCTGAATAATTTTCGTCGTCACGTGGTTCACCTGTCACCGACGCTGGAGCAGGAGTTTTTTGTGGTTGCGCAGTACCTCGGCAACACGACTGTCGCCAACGCCCACGCTGTGATCCGCAGTGACGAGGCGGCTGCGATGGCGGATGTGTTGCGGCGGTCGCTTGTGACGTTTGGCGGGTCGCTGCTGTCGTCCGCGCTGCTGGGTGGCGGTGACGCGCTGGAGAGCCACCTGCCTCGCGATGGCGATGTGTTCGTCGTGGGCCTCGCTGCTGCCGATGTCGCTGTGGTCGCGGGTCACCTGGCGAAGCACCGCGGTGTGCGTGTGTTTGTGCTGTTCACGGAGTTCTCGTTGCTGTACGGTGAGTTTGTTGCTGCGTTCAATGGGAGTGCGGCTGCACAACGCCTCGTGTTCGCGACGAGCCTGCCGCACTGGGCAGACGAGAGCACGACGTCTGCGACCGTGCAGAAGTTCCATGCTGCTGTGGAGGACCGAAAATTCTGGGCGCCGTTAACGTTTGTGGCGTTTGTGAACACACGTGTAGTGGAAACTGTTCTATCTCGTGTGAACAAAATCAATTCAATTATGTTTATTGACTTCTTCTACAAGAACGTTGCCATCAGTGTGGATGACNATTGCGCCTTGCAGGGTGTGGAGGGTGAAGGCGGCTGTGCTATGAACTACGGAGCGACGCGTATTTCTGTGTGGTCGATGGCCCGCGTGTTTGACCCCGAGTTGCCTAGGATGTCATCCCCTGTGACGCCGTCAATGGTGTACACAGAGCCGGATACCGACAGCGGGGTCACGGCGTTCCAGCACTATGCAATTATTGTTGGTTCTGTCCTTGGAGGATTGGTGATGCTTGCGGTGGCTCTGAGCCTGCTGTTCTGCTGCGGCCGTAAATCCCGTGACAACAACAACGCCCCGAAGGAGCCCACAGACCCCGTGACGCTTGTGTTCACTGACATCGAGAGCAGCACTGCGCTGTGGGC